TGTATGCATATGAGGTTATTGAAAATACCATGCTATGAACATTGGTGTACATATAGCTACTCATGTTATGGTTCATATTTCTTGTGGGTAAATCCCAAGTAGAGGAATTGATGTATCATAAGGTATTTCTATTTCCAACCTTCTGAGGAAGCACTGTATTGATTTCCAGAGTGGTTGGACCATTTTGTAATCCCACCAACAATATTGGAGGGTCCTAGTCTCTCCGCATCCTCACCTGCATTTACTTTTTTTAATCTTTGTTGTTGTTGCTGTTGTGAGAGGATATCTCGTTGTTGTTTTGATTTGCATCTCTCTAATGGCTAGTGATTGTGAACATTTCTTCATATATTTGTTGGCTGCCTGGATCTCTTCCTTGGTGATGTGTCTGTTAATGTCCTGTACCCATTTTTTAATTGGGTTATTTGTCTTTTTCTTGTAAAGGTGTTATAGTTTACTATATATTTTAGAAATGAGTCCCTTGCCTGATGTGTCATTGCAAAAGATTTTTACCCATTCTGTGAGTTCCATTTTACTCTTTTGGTGAAGTCTTTTGATGCACATAAATTTTTAATTTTTAGTATGTCCCAATCATCTATTTTGTCTACTTTTTTGCGTGTCATTTGCAAAATATTTGGTAGTCTGTGTATGCCCTGAATTAGCTAAGTGAAAAGATTTCAAAAGGATGCATACTTTATGGTTTCATTGATACACAACTCTACAAAACAGACATAAAATCTTTTTGTTACATTTTATCTATGTAAATTGTTGTTGTTGTCATCGTCATGTCCCGTGGACTCGGTTCTGACTCATAGTGACCCTGTACAGGGTTATAAATTATGTATCAATAAATCTGCAACCTAGCCTTTATCTACATTAGTCTAAAATTGAATTAACGTAAAAATAGTCTCATTGTATAAATGGGGAGAAGCTCAATTATGATATGAATGTATGTACAACACTCATAAACTCGACCTAAAAAATATTAATATATATTATCCTTGCATTATACTTCTGAATTTTATATTCTAATTGTTGAAAACTAAAGTGTGCTTGACCCAATCCATGGTATTTTCAATAATCTCATATGCATGTAAAAGCTGGATAGTGAATAAGGAAGACCACAGAAGAACCAATGACTTGAGTAATGGCATTGGAGGATAATAATAAAAAACCAATCTGTGTTGGAAGAAATACAGCTGGAATGCTCATTAGAAGCCAGGATGACCAGACTTCATCCAGTCTCTGGAGAAGGATATCATATTGGTAAAGTAGAAGGTGGGAGAAAGAAAGAAAGACTCCCAATGAGATGGATTGGCACAGTGGCAGCAACAACAGACTCAAACATAACAATAATTGTGAAGTTAGCACATTGCCGGGCAGTGTTTCATTCTGCTGTACATAGAGTTGCTGTGCATCAGTACCTACTCGATGGCCACTAACAACAATTGCTGAAGAAATTTTACTTTGGAAATTATGTTAATATCTGTACATGTTAATATCTGTACATGTATTTCCATTTGAATTCCATCAATTCCCAGTGCCTTGTTCTTTTCCAATTCCTTCAATGCACCTTGGACTTCTTCCTTCAGTATTATTGGCTCTTGATCATCTGCTACCTCTTGAAACAATTTCCTTTAATTACAGTGACTCTGTGTATTCCTTCCATCTTCTTTTGATGCTTTCTGCATCATTCAATAATTTGCCCAGAGAATCCTTCAATAACGAAAGTTGAGGCTTGAATTTTTTCTTTAGTTTCCCCAGCTTGAGAAATGCTGAGCATGTTCTTCCCTTCTGGTTTTCTGACTCCAGATCTTTGCACATTTTGTTGTAATATTTGAATTTGTCTTCTCGAGCTGACCTTTGGGATTTTCTGTTCAGCTATTCTATCTTCTCATTTCTTCCATTTGCTTTAGCATCTGCATGCTGGAGAGCAAGTTTCAGTGTCTCTTCTGACATCCATTTTGACGTTTTCCTTCTTTTTTGTCTTCTTAATGACTTTTTGCTTTCTTCCTGTATGATGTTCTTGATGTCATCCCACAACTCTTCTGGTCTTCGGTCTTTAGTATTCAATGTATCAAATCTGTTCTTCAGATAATCTCTAAATTCAGGTGGGATATATTCAAGGTCATATTTTAATGGGATCTTCTTTTTTGAAGACATCCTAATGAGACTAAGACAAGTATATTGCTGAAAGAACTTGTCTGTCTCTGATGGCAGAGATATGTTTAAACATGTTTTGTTTGGAATAAACTCATGCATATATGAACTGGAACCCTAGTAGAAATATTTTGGACTTAACCTTGTATATATAAAGATAAAATAGCTTCTAGTGAGCTATACATTTCAATACATACAAGTATTTTAAATTAAATGTTCTTGTATTTGTAAATATTATATGTGACATAAATGGATATTTTCACAGAAAGAAATGTATGGAAGGGTATACTCAAAATTATTAGTAATCATTGCATCTTTTTAAAACTTTAGCCTTGTTCTTTTGATATTTTTCTGGGATATTTGTTTGTTTGTTTTTATCTGATCAAATGTCTGACCCTTTCCAAAATAGTAATAAAAATTAAAACCAGTTGTTGTTGAGTGGATTTAAAATAATTTCAGCAGAGTAGAATGGAAACACAGGGCTTCCAAGGCTGTAAATTGTTAGAGAGGCAGACTGCTATGTCTTCTTCCTGTGGAGTGACTGGTGTGTTTGAACTGCCAACGTTGTAGTAACAACGCTTATCCACTTATACCACCAAGACTTCCTGTAGCAAACTTGTTGTTATTATTGTTGTTGTTGTTGTTGTTAAGTTCTGTGGAGTCAGTTCCAATTAATAGTGACCCTGTATAGGGTTTTCAAGGAGCATTTAGTGGATTTGAAACATTGACCTTGCAGTTCAACCCAACCTTGCAGCCTAGTGCTTTATCCCACAGTGCCACTCCAGGACAAGTGCCATCAAATTGGTTCCAATTCATAGAAACCCTTTATAGGTTTTCTGAGGAAGGGCTGGCAGATTTGAACCACTAACCTTGTGCTTAGCAGTGCAGTGGTTATCCTACAGTGCCACACCAGAACTCCTGTAGCAACTGTATATAAACAGAATTACTTAAAAATTAAATTAAATTAAAATGCTTGATTAGGATTTATTTTAAGATATTGAATTTTTATATTTTCCTACCAGTCTCTGTATGTTTATCTTAAATGATTTTGATGTTTTGTTCTGTCTCTAACGGCTATGTCCCTGTTCTTATTGTATTGTTTCTTTTTTTTCCCCAATGTTATTTACACTGGTGACTCATTAGTAATTTTTGAAGCTAGGTCACCAAGGACTTTTTAATATATTAACTCTGTTGCTGACTTGGCAAAGAAAACTGATACCAAGCTTGAAATGACAAAACCCTCTTTCCAAGCACACACAGTTAAGAACATCAGCTCTTCTGGAGGTTAGTAGGACTGCCTTTGAAGTACTATTTATTATCACTGGTGGAGAGTAAAAGAAAATAGATATGACCGATAAGCACTGAACTCTTAACCACAAGGTCAGCAGTTCAGACCCACCAGCAGCTCTCAGAAATGCTATACAGGGTCACTGCACATTGGAATCACTGGATGACAGTGGGTAGTGGTTTATAACAGAACAATATCTATCATGAGATTTATGCAAGTGATTGAAGACTGAAGATCCAAAAGTCAAGCCATTCATGACTGCTGTATCTGTGTTGCTATTGCTGCTAAGTGACCCTGTATAGGGTTTCCAAGGAGCAGCTGGTGAACTTGAACCATCGACCTCTCAGTTCAAGCCGACCTTGCAGTTCAGTGCATTAACCCACAGCACCACACCAGGACTTCACTATATCTGTGGGTGGGGTTTTAATCAGTAGTGACAAGAAATACTGATTTTCAACTTTACATTCATTTAAAAATTGTTAACTGTAAGAATTGTTTTACTTAAACAACTCATAGAAGGAAGCTGTAATTAACTGCAAGGAATGTGAAGTGTGACCAATTCTGTCATTTTAGTGATATTATCTTTTGCAGACAAGAGTCATAGTTGTATCTGAAAAAAAGATTTTTTTTTTTTTCCTTCTGACTATATAAAACTGAAATGCAGAAGAAAAGTGAGGCTTTCAGCTCCTGCAAAGATTTACAGTCTCGGAAACCCTATACAGGGTCTCCATGAGTTGGAAAGGACTCAACAGCACTTAACAACAATGACAATGAAACTGATTTACATTACTTTTAGTTGCATCAGTTTTGATATGAATCTTAATGGAATGACTTTTTTAGAGTGCGTTATTTTTGGTTTCTTTCATTTGTATGATAATTTCTCATTGATATGATCATAACTCAAGGAAAATAAAGTAGCAATATTTCCCACATGGGAATTAAAAATCTAGTTAACACATTAGCTAATGTTGTACCACCTCATTAAAAAATTTTTTAAACTTAAAGAAAGATTTCAAATATAAATAGTAACCTGTTGCCATGGAGTTGATTACTTAGTTTACTCTGCATTGTAATATGTTCTCATGGAAGTAAACTTCTAATGACTGAAATAAAAATTATTTTTTAGCGATGAGTCCTACTCAATATCAGCAGGGCTGTGTTTGTTACCATAAAGAAGGACAGGTTTCGTAAATAAAATTGTTTAAGAAGTGTAAGTTTAGATTCGGCTTTAATATTTATTGAACATAAAAATACAAATTGTGCATAAAATGTAGTAAAAATCACTCAGAATATGTTGGCTTGTGGTATGGATAATCTGATTTTTGAGAAATAGTTACAGAAATGGCAAAGAATACAACTTTGAAACCTATGCTGCTGGTGTAATTATCAACAAATTATACTAGTGTAGTTGGAAACAGATTAATGAAAAATTAATTAAGATGGTTCCCACAATGTTTTGAGACAAAATTTATCGAAATTGATGGCAGCACCATTCTCCTCATATCACATATCTTTGAATTATAAATGCAGGTTGAATAGAAATCAGAAATCAACTATGAGAAATCACACAGTAACAAGTTTCATCCTGCTGGGACTGACAGACGACCCACAGCTGAAGGTTGTGACTTTCATCTTTCTATTTCTCACCTACATGCTGAGTGTAACCGGGAACCTGACAATCATCTCCCTCACGTTCATTGATTCTCACCTTAAAACTGCCATGTATTTTTTCCTGCAAAATCTCTCCTTCTTAGAAATCTCATTTACATCTGCTTGTATTCCCAAATACTTGTACAACATATCAACAGGTGACAAGACAATCACATATGACAATTGTGTTATTCAAATTTTTTTTACTGACCTTTTTGCTATTACAGAATTTTTTCTCCTGGCCACCATGTCCTATGACCGGTATGTAGCCATCTGCAAACCCTTACATTACATGACCATCATGAATAACAACATCTGTAGAAAACTCATTCTTGGTTGCTGGACAGCTGGCTTATTGATTCTAGTTCCCCCACTTAGTCTGGGCCTAAATTTAGAATTCTGTGACTCTAATGTCATTGATCATTTTGCCTGTGATGTGTCTCCTCTCTTAAAGATCTCATGCTCAGAAACATGGCTCATAGAGCAGGTGGTGATAGTCTGTGCTGTGTTGACCTTTATTGTGACCCTCATATGTGTTGTTCTCTCGTATGTGTACATCATCAAGACCATTCTACGCTTCCCTTCTGCCCAGCAAAGGAAAAAGGCATTTTCAACCTGCTCTTCCCACATGATTGTGATTTCTATCACCTATGGAAGCTGTATCTTCCTCTATGTCAAACCCTCAGCAAAGAATTCAGTGGCCATCAATAAGGGAGTATCAGTCCTCACAACTTCTATTGCTCCTATGCTGAACCCCTTCATTTATACCCTGAGAAACAAGCAAGTGAAACAAGCCTTCAATGATACAATCAAAAGAATAGTAATGTTCTTAAAGAAGTAAAGAAATTTGCTAATATAGAGCAATCCCACTTTCATTAAAAAAAAGATTAAAAATCCCTTTATCTTTAAATGCTTGTTCTATATCTTTAAATGCTTGTTCATTTCCTTTCTAGTAAGGGTCCTGGTATGACACTGTAGAATAACTGTTGGACTGCTAATTAAAATGTCCACTGTTCAAACCCACCAGGTGCTCCTGGGAAACCCTCAACTGGGTTATTATGAGTCAGAACTGACTATGTGAAAATTATCAACAACAAGGAGCTTAACAGGATAGCATTTCTCACTAACTGACATGTTATTTTTTTTGTTATTATCGTTGAGAAGTTTCTGACTTATAACGATCCTGTTACAGGGTTTCCAAGGGTTGCCATGTGAATTTGAACCCCCAATGGCTATCTGTCCAATGTTTATCCTTTAGCACCACAGCAGAACTCTAAATTACATTTACAGTTGTGACTCTATAAGATAAGCACTAGACTGCTAACCACAAGGTTACCAGCTCAAACCCTCCAGCCTCTCTCAGAAACCTATACAGAGTAGCTATAACTATGATCCAACATGATGGAACACAACAAAGAACAAACAATAATCACTGTATATCAAATAGCCTATTGATAAAACTGCAAACAAAACCTAACTGAATCATTAAGTTCATCTTAATGTTTTGAACCAAGTATGTTTATTGACCATTTGAATTCCAGTTTTTTTAGGGACTTTGTGATTCTGGACACCATTCTAGTTTACTTTGCTTTTGACTTTAAACTTTAAACTAGGGAAGAAAATGGTTTAGGACCGCTAAGTTTAATATTACAGATGGGCTTTAAACAATGAAGTCATAATACTATTAAAGTATTCATCTTAGTAGTGTAATTAAGATGATTATATTCATCAGCCACCATTAGAGATATATTGCTTTTTCATTATATGTAATAGTGAATTTATATAAGTACTTTGTCTTCACTTTGCATATAGGCAAATTGAAGCTCAAGAAAGCTACTCTGGGGAGAAACCAGGTTGCAAATTCCTTTTTATCTGACTCAATGTCTGTATTTTTGCAGTACGTATGATGCTATCGGAAACCCTGTACAGGGTCACTATGGGTCGGACCCAACTCGATGGCACTTAACAACAACAACAACAATGATGCTATAGTGACACACATTTCTACATCAGGATAACTTTAAGGAAAACCTTGTACTCCTGGTGTGGTATAGTAGCATCAGCATTGGACTGGGAATCATAAGATTGGCAGTTCAAACCCATCAGCTGCTCCTTGGAAACCCTATGCAGGGTTTCTGAGTCCTGGTGTAGAGCTGTAGGATAAGCACTGGACCACAAAGTCAATGTGAACTGCAAAGTGGCAGTTTAAACCCACCAGTTGCTTCTAGAAAATCCTTTACAGGGTTGCACCGCCCAAAACGACTCAAAAGCACTAACAACAGCAACAATGAATGAAAACAGACTCACAGTGCTTAACAACAAAAGGGCACCTTAGGAAAATCTCCGTGCATCAAACACAAGTCTTATTTAATTCATAAAAACAAAAAAATATGTGATTTTTAAGAGAAAAAATATAAATATCATATGCACTTTAAATTCATAACATAAAAAGAAGTATTAAAATATTTTTATCATATGAAAAAGTATAAATTACTTAACATTTGCATTTGCCAAAATGAAACTTGTACTTTTACATAGAAAAATGAAGAACAGAAAGGTTAGACTGAAAAGGTAAGGTCCATAGCATAAGTACACTCTTGCTGAGAATGTAGCTAAAAGTGGGATTATGTATAAAATAGAATATAGAAATAAATATACGAATATAATCATTGAGAACCTTTCCTATGAAACCAGGGCAATATGCTTAAAAAGCTATTGGTCATGATAAATTATCTCTCATGGATGAAGAAATCTATATTAAATATAAAATGAACTTTGAGCAAAAGATGTTCCTTCATGTCTTTTTTTATTAGTGCTCTGCCTACTGGCTTCTCAAAGTTGTATTTCACCGAAGAGTGGTAATTGGTAATGGACAGAGGCAAGCTGTGGTGGGGACAAGCCAGAGACTCCGGCAGTCTGGTTGAGGCAACTCCCCAAGGGCCTGGAATTAAGCTGTACCCACTGAACTCCCACAGGTCTGCTTTTCTCCCAGAGGGCAGATTAATGAAAGGGGTTACTCCAACTGCAAAGAAGGAATCTTTTCAGCTGATCAGATTTTGGAAGAGATTGTGGTTCCCAAAAAAACTACAGATAAAAGTGAAAGGGTGGTCCTAGTCCCAGGCTTGCAGGCATCGGGGTGCTGTGCAGGGTACAACACTCACTCTAATATCAAAAGTGTCTGCTGCCCATACTTCTGTTTCCAAGTACTATAGTTGCTTCTTTTAATCTTGTTCAATATTCAGGGAGGATACATTGATAGGTTGAATAATGAGTCACAAAAAGATTGATTTAACAGAAAAGTGGCTAAACAAAATGCTCAGAAGGACTTGCATTCATGTCTCTGTTATTTTTGTAGCCACTGATAAGAAAGACTTTTAAAAAGTCATCTTCCAAAACCCTACATATGCTTTGTTGTTGTTAAGTGCTATCAAGGGGCTTCTGACTCATAGTGATCCTATACAACGTTTCCAAATTGGGTTCTTAGAAATGAAGAACTATTACAAAATGTGCTTTGAAGGGAAAAGTGGTTGGAAGGAACACATTTGATTTGATGTTAAAGTTCCTGACAAATCTGTGCCTGCCAATTTGGCCTTGGTTTATTTGTATATTTTCTCCAATGTCTACAGTGAAAAGTTACTTTCAGGGAAGGCTACTCAGACTTAGATACTTAGAAAGTTGTGGCATGCTGCATCTGGATGTTCAATTAGCCAGAAAGTGGATGGTGACTATAGGGGACAAGCCTTACTTGCTTGCATTTCAGTAATTTATGTTTTCTAAAGATCATTTGACATCGTGTAAGTATTTATTTGAGTTTTATGATTTTGTTACAGCATACTGGTGACAGTGTTGAGTGAAAAAAAAAAAATTATTGCTTCATAATTATGCATCCGTTACGAATCGGGCTGTGAACCGCAAGGTTAGCAGTTCGAAACTACCAGCTGTTCCGCGGGAGAAAGATGAGGCTTTCTGCTTCCGTAAAGATTTGCAGCCTCAGAAACCCTGTACAGAGCCGCTATGAGTCGGAAACGACTCCACAGCACATAACAACAACAGCAACAGTGTTCATTGATGGAGTCCTGGTGTTGTGCTGTGGGCTAATGCATCAGACTGCAAAATCATTTGAACTGCAAGGTCAGTGGTTCAAGCTCACCAGACGCACCTTGGAAACTCTATACAGGGTTGGTATGGGTCAGAATCAACTCAACGGCACTTAACAACAACAACAACAAAGTATTCATTGGGGTGTTACTATGACTTAGGATGACGTGGGAGTGATAAATGAAAAAGCTGTCTTGCCAACTTAAACATGTTCAGTTCTTTCTCACTGAAAGTTAACTACTTCAGAATTTTCGTTTGTAGAAAGCCAGTTTTGCACTTTAATGTAGTATTTCAAGTTGGTTTTGCTTGCTTGGGAAGATGTTTTTAAATATGTTAGTCAGTTAAGTGTTTACTGACATTACATATATTCTCATTAGATATAAATCCATTTTGAATAATGTGCATGGTAAAAAAATATGATGGATTTCTCTTTACTAGAAATGTAGTTATTTGCTACATTTTTGTATCTAGGATTATGTAAGTAAAGCTAAAGAACTTGTAGGAGTCCTTGTGTGGCGTTGTAGCCTAATGTGCTGGAATGCAAGGTCGGTTTGAACCGCAAGGTTCAAGTGCACCAAGCTTTCCTCGGAAACCCTATACAGGGTTACTATGAGACGGAACTGACTTGATGGCACTTAACAGCAGTAACAACATTCATAAAATCGGAGCGTGGTGACGCTGTAGGATATGCACTGGAGTGCTAACCACAAATATTCCATGGGAAAAGGTGAAGTTTTCTACTCCCACAAAGATGAACAGCCTCAGAAACCTTATACATGGTCTCCATGAGTCAGAATATACTTAAAGGACACTTAAAAAACAACAACAACAACATCTTACTCACTGACACAGAGCACATGCTGGTGTGTTTTTAAAAAGGCCCGAGGAATCTCTATTTTCTGGTTCCCAAATCTTCCTGGTTCTCCTGTGTCTCACAATTATTTGTATCTTGGAAATTAATGAGTACATTTAAACACTTGGAAAAATTTCAGATTTTTGTGAATGAGAATTTGATCATTTTTTCTTACTTCACGTATTAACAGAAAAGGGAGAAAATATTATTTTATATTGCTAATAGATGTAGAAAATTACTCTGAAAATTTCATATTTTTTTCAATAAAAATCTCTTAGACAAAGAATAGAAAGACACTTTCTGGATACGCAAAAGGATATCTGCAAATCTCTACAACTAACATTATACATAGTGGAAAAGTAGTGAATATTTTAGCCTACATTCACTCTTCAAAAAGGACAAAGATGCTCAGATGCACTACCTGTTTTCAACATTGAATAGCTGTAGCCAGGGCAAAAAGCTAAAAAAAGAAGCAAAGTGTAGAAAAATTGGAAAAGAATCATTTAAATCTACACTGCTCACTGATGATGTAAATAAATATTTAGTAAATCCAAGTATCTACCAAAATGTTAAAATTCACAAATTAATTTTCAATATTGCTAGATACAAAATCCACAAAGTTAGTTATGATGTTAATATCACAATTTTGCAAAGGAAATTTATGAAACAATATATTTTAATATTCAAAAACTTTAGTGCATAAGTAAAATTCTAACAAAATACTTACAAAATCTCTACATTAAAAATGCTGCTAAAAGAAATCAAAGAGAACTAAATAAATGGAGTATACAGATAGGCTTTCATTTTCTTAAGTCAAAATAAAATAACTGAAGCAATTGCATGTCTGATATACCACTGATAGGAACACTTGATCTTGCTTAGATGTCAGT